AGGGCTGTTTTTGGGGTATTTTTGGGCTGGTTTTGCGGTATTTTGGGGTGCAGTAGGGTATTTCGGGGTGCAGCACTGACCCTGCCCCCTGCAGCAGCTTTGGGGCATTTTTGGGCTGGTTTTGGGGTATTTTTGGGGTGCAGAGGGCTTTTTTGGGGGTGGTTTTGGGCTGGTTTTGGGTATTTTTGGGGTATTATTTTGGGTGCAGCACTGACTCTGCCCGCAGCGGCTTTGGGGTATTTTTGGGGTGCACAGGGCTGGTTTTGGGGTATTTTTGGGGTATTTCTGGGCTGTTTTTGGGGCACAGCACTGCCCCTGCCCCGCAGTGCCTTTGGGATATTTTTGGGGTATTTTTGGGCTGTTTTTGGGGTGTCTCTGGGATATTTTGGGTGCAGCCCTGCCCCTGCCCCGCAGCAGGTTTGGGATATTTTTGGGGTATTTTTGGGCTGTTTCTGGGGTGTCTCTGGGATATTTTGGGTGCAGCCCTGCCCCTGCCCCGCAGCAGGTTTGGGATATTTTTGGGATATTTTTGGGCTGGTTTTGGGATATTTTTGGGCTGGTTTTGGGGTGTCTCTGGGATATTTTGGGCGCAGCCCTGCCCCTGCCCCGCAGCCCTTTGGGGTATTTTTGGGCTGTTTTTGGGGTATTTTTGGGCTGTTTTTGGGGTGTGTCTCGGCTGTTTTTGGGGCTGGTTTTGGGCGCAGCCTTGCCCCTGCCCCGCAGTGCCTTTGGGATATTTTTGGGGTATTTTTGGGCTGGTTTTGGGGTGTGTTTGGGATATTTTGGGCGCAGCCCTGCCCCTGCCCCACAGCAGGTTTGGGCTGTTTTTGGGGTATTTTTGGGCTGTTTCTGGGGTGTCTCTGGGATATTTTGGGCGCAGCCCTGCCCCTGTCCCCAGCGGGTTTGGGATATTTTTGGGGTATTTTTGGGCTGTTTTTGGGGTATTTTTGGGCTGTTTCTGGGGTGTCTCTGGGATATTTTGGGCGCAGCCCTGCCCCTGTCCCCAGCGGGTTCGACCTGGCCAATCA